ACGAGAGGACGAAGGACGAAGACGGGACGAAGGACGGGACGAAGAGCAGCAGCAGCGGCAGCAGCGGCAGCAGCAGCAGCAGCAGCAGCAGCGGCAGCAGCAGCAGCAGTAGCAGCAGCAGTAGCAGCAGCAGTAGCAGCGCTCTGGCTGAAGTCGCTGGCAGATGGGGCTTGTCAAGTCCTTCAGGGCTCGAGGGCCTCTGGACCCGCTGGTGACAAGCCTGATGGACTTTTCGACCCTCGAGGAGCTCTCGCTGAAGATCTTCCAGCTGTACCAGGTGAGAAGCCGTAAGATAGCTCTAGAGCTGGTGGGTACCTGCTGGGTACTGTCGGCAGCTCTAGAGCTGGTGGGTACCTGCTGGGTACTGTCGGCAGCTCTAGAGCTGGTGGGTACCTGCTGGGGGGCTGTCGGCAGCTCTAGAGCTGGTGGGTACCTGCTGGGTACTGACTCAGGGGAGCAGAAGATGGATCTCGATGAATCTGGCTCGGTGAATCTGGAAGAGTTGAACTTTGGTCTGAAGGTGAGGAGGCGAGGAGGAGGAGAAGAAGAATGGGAGAGAAAGAGGACCAGGAAAGAGAAGAGGAGGATAAGGACGCGGGGGAGAGAGGAGGACGAGGAGGACGAGGAGGACGAGGAGGACGAGGAGGAGCAGTGAGCAAGAGGAGGACGAGGACAAGGACTATGACAAGGACAAGGAGGACGAAGGAGAAGGAAAAGGACGAGGACAAGGAGGACGAAGGAGAAGGAAAAGGACGAGGACGAGGACGAGGACGAGGACGAGGACGAGGAGCTCATTGCTGCTTGGCAGAAGCTGAACTTGATCCCTCCCGTGAAACTGACGGAGGAAGAGTTCGACGCCATCACAGACTCGCGGCAGCTGCTCAACTCACAGGGAGAGCTCGGGCCCGAGGAGTTTGAAACGATGATCCTGACGCAGATGACCAACTATGTGCATCGAAAGGTGAAGAGCAGAGGAGGGGTGAAGAGGAGGGGAGGGGAGAGGACAGGACAGGACAGGAGAGAGGAGTGGAGGGGAGAGAGGAGAGAGACGAGGAGAGGAGAGGAGAGGAGAGGAAGGGAGAAGTCAGGAAAGCAGAGCAGAGCAGAACAGGGGGAAGCGGGCAGGTGAGGACAGGCCGGGGGAAGAGAAAGCTAAGGAGACCTGAAGTTAACAGAGGATCAGAGGGGACGGGAGCGGAGGGGGGAGGCTGCTGACCACGGGAGCAGGTAGCGGTAGCGATCAAGAATGAGGCGCAGGAGTTCAACTACGACATGCTGTTCGCTATCAAGTCGCTTCTGTTCTCAGTCGACAAGATCCACAACCCGATCTTCAAGTCAAAGAAGAACCTCCCCAAGAAGTCCAGGAGGGAGATACTTCGCAAGCTCTTCAACTCCTCGCTCTTCAACGCCTTCGTTCAGTGGAAGCAGGCGATGGGACTGCCGTCCTCCTTCCGACAGCCCAAGGTTGTGAGCATGGAGACCCTTGCCGCCAGCATCGAGCGCCTGGAGGGAGTTGTTGGCAAGCTCGCTTGCAGCTCTCCTGCAGCTACCTCGCAAGCTCCTTCCTCCTTCCAGCTCTCAGACGCTCTGGAAAAGATGCAGCAGGCGCTGTCGCAGCAGCAGGAGACGTTGGCGAAGATGGCGGAACAGATCGCTGTCCTAAGCAAACAGGCAGGGGAAGTGCCCAGGAGGACAGGGAGCAGGGGGTCGAGGGGAGGAGAGGAGGGGCAGAAGGGGGCAGGAAGGATGTCGGACTCCGACGTCATCGTGGTCGGCAGGCAGGAGGGGAGGGAGGAACCAAAGCTCCAGAGCTTCACAGAGCTGAAGAGGCCGAAGCCGGCGCTGAAGCAGAGGAACCTGTCGTTCCCTCGGTACTCCCCCAGCTCGGCGCTGCTGCAGCTGGAGGAGTCCAGCACACCCTCACCTAGGCGACTCTCCGATGCTGAGTCAGGCTACGTGGGACTCAGCAATGGGGAGCAAGGGAGAGGAGCAGGAGCAGGAGCAGGAGCAGGAGCAGGAGCAGGAGGAGCGGGCAAGGGAGACCTGGTGAAGCTGTCTTGGTTCGAGGTTCCCGTGAGCTTCGACTCTCTCCGGACCTCCAGCCCGATGAAGAGGATGCATGCACGGCCTGCGAGCGTGAAGGTGCTCCTCTACGACACCTACCACGTGTACCTCAGGATCAGCGGGGAGGAGGTAGCAGGAGAGTGTCTGCGCGCCAGTCTGGGGGAGGCGGTAGGGGAGGCGAAGGATGGGGAGAGGATGAGCGAGGCGGTGGAGAAGCTGCGCGAGGATGAGGAAGGGCTGGTGGTTGAGCGATCCTCCTACGTGGACGTCCACTCGAGGGACGGCGCGACTTTCAGCCGCTTCTTCCAAGCGAGGTCAAGAAGGAGGAGGAGGAGGAGGAGGAGGAGGAAGCTGAGGAGGAGGAGGAGGAGGAGGAAGAGGATAGGAGGAGGAAGAGGAGGAGCTGAGGAGGAGGAAGAGGAGGAGGACGAAGAGGAACTGAGACGTTGCCTGTGGCAGGGGAGAAGGGGAAGAGCTGAGGAGAGCTATCGCCGAGGCAGCGACGGGGAAGTACGATGGGGGGAAGCTGAAGGTGGAGGAGAAAGGGGGAAGAACTCGCATAGTAGAGCTGGACAAGGAGGTCCAGCAGGCCATCAGCAGGATCCGAGTGCTCAGGTACCAGCTCTAATAGTCTTTCCGGGCCCGGGGCTCGCGGCCGGGAGATTCACGGGCCTGCCCGGCTGGCACGGGCGGCCCGGGCCGGGCGGCGGCCGGCCAGATGATTATAGTACACTGACAGTCAAAACAGACTCGAACCACTGAGCCAACCCTTCAACCTTCCTTATCATTATTCTCTTCATTGTTGACTGATCCGCTCGGCTCAGCGGCAGTGGGCCGGATAAGGCCCTGTCAACCCTTATCCGGCCCCGGGCCCGGATGCTGCTGTCCCCAAAACTTAACTGATACCTTCACTTACATTCTTATTAGCCCGGCCCGGGCCCGGGCCGCCCGGACTCAGCCGCCGGTGCGGGGGCCCCGGCCCGGAGCAAAGATCCTGCCGACTGCTGACACTTTGACCATGTCAGCCTAACAGGGGACGTCCTTTACAGTTGCTACCCCTACCCCCTAATTATCATGAATGGACCCCCACCGAATCATTTCTTTTTCAGCGTTTTCACCACCCCTACCCCTCCATAAGTCGTCAAAACGAATCCGAGTAGCGACCCTCTGTTCCGCCCATGAACTGACAACCCACCCCATCAAAAGACCATGTGATCTACCCTACCCTGTATAATATTGACTCTGAAATGGTTCAACAGACCCCTATTCAGATGACCCCTACCCCCTTAATCACTCCGGCTCGTCTTACTCCTATGATTGTAGGGGTCCGAGGGCAAAACAGTGAAACCACGAAAATGAAAGATGAAGAGGAGGGGGGAGAGGAGGGAGCAGCGAGGTAGGACGAGAGGAGGAGAGGGAGGGAGCGGAGAGCTAGGACGAGAGGAGGAGAGGGAGGAAGCGGAGAGCTAGGACGAGAGGAGCGGAGAGGTAGGACGAGAGGAGGAAGAGGAGGATAAAACTTCACGGAATAATCGTTGTAGAAAAGGAAATAGACGCAGACCACAACAGAAAAAGAAAGATAAAAAACAAATAGTGTGTGTTTATCACGCCTACATGATACATCACTGATCATACCATAATGTTAGGTACCAAGTTGTGAATGCCATCAGGGAGCTATTTTATCTCCCATCAAGAACTTCTCGCTCTTTCTTTCACTCTCGCTCTCGCTTTCCCTTGATCGTTAAAGATCAGCTTCAAACTCCCGAAATCACTCATCGAGACATCTGTTCAAATGTCGAATCAACGAGCAAAAGCTCGCACAGCCATAGAGGAGCCAAACAGCACAGAGCAAGGCATTCAAGACTTGCAGGAGGCTTACTCGCAATCCAACGAGGCGATGGCGTCGCAGGAAATGAAGGATGTGTCAGAGCGTGTGAATGAAATCCTTGCAAACAACAATGCTGAGAGCGCAAAGGCCGGAGACATCGGTAAGACGATCGTAGATCAGGTCAAGGACAAGACAGGGGTCGACCTGCAGTCTGACGATCTACGCAACAAGGCCGGAGACATCGGTAAGACGATCGTAGATCAGGTCAAGGACAAGACAGGGGTCGACCTGCAGTCTGACGATCTACGCAACAAGGCCGGAGACATCGGTAAGACGATCGTAGATCAGGTCAAGGACAAGACAGGGGTCGACCTGCAGTCTGACGATCTACGCAACAAGGCCGGAGACGTCGGTAAGACGATCGTAGATCAGGTCAAGGACAAGACAGGGGTCGACCTGCAGTCTGACGATCTACGCAACAAGGCCGGAGACATCGGTCAGACGATCGTAGATCAGGTCAAGGACAAGACAGGGGTCGACCTGCAGTCTGACGATCTACGCAACAAGGCCGGAGGCATCGGTCAGACGATCGTAGATCAGGTCAAGGACAAGACAGGGGTCGACCTGCAGTCTGACGATCTACGCAACAAGGCCGGAGACGTCGGTCAGACGATCGTAGATCAGGTCAAGGACAAGACAGGGGTCGACCTTCAGTCTGACGATCTACGCAACAAGGCCGGAGACGTCGGTCAGACGATCGTAGATCAGGTCAAGGACAAGACAGGGGTCGACCTTCAGTCGGAGGAAGCGAAGGCGGCAGTCAGCGCGATGGGCGGGGCGGTGGTCTCCCTCGCCGTGGAGGAGCAGCTGAGAAGCTTCTGTCAGAGCTCGGATTGCCAGGAGGTGCAGGAGGCGGTCGGGAGGGAGCTGGTGAAGGTCGCGGGGATGCTGGGTGAAGTTCAGATCCCCTTCAGCCTTGACAGTGTCGTCGGAGCCTTCGGGGTGCTGGGAGACGTCGCGTACGCATGCCCGATGTTGGCACCGGTCGGGCTGATCCTGGTGGGGGTCTCGAGCGCTTGCAAGCAGGCCAAGTACAACCGAGAGCAGGCGGACTTCATGCGGGAGCGAGTCGATGGCATCTCAGCGACGATGAAGCGACTGAGCGCGAACCTGCAGCAGAAAGGAGCCAAGGACAGCGCGTCTGTGCTGGAGCCTCTGCTGGAGGTTCTCAAGGAGGCGTTCGAGTACATCTCGCGGATCACGAGACGAGGTTTCATGAAGTCGCTCTTCACCTACTCCGCCGACAGAAAGACTCTGCAGCAGCTCGACAAGCAGATCACTGACGCCACCCAAGCCCTCCATCTCGCCGTCGCCAACGAGCAGGTCGGTAGACAAAACGAATGCTGCTGATGGAGATGATGATGATGATGGTGATGATGATGGTGGTGATGGTGTTGTTGTTGATGATGGAGACGGTGTTGTTGATGATGGTGTTGATGCTGCTGCTGCTGCTGCTGCTGATGATGATGATGATGATGATGATTCGAAGGGCTTCGATTGATGAGCGTGTGTTTGCAGCTCGAGCTCAGCCTGCAGATGGACGAGAAGCTTGTGCGAATGATGGCGATGCTGGAGAAAGGAGTCCCAGCAGGTTGCAAGGAGCCAGCGCAGATAGATGCGAAAGTGCTGGTGGAGATTGCAGAGCGATCAGGATGTAAGATGGCGAATGAGATGAAGGAAGAGATCGGATCGATGAGCGAGGCGATGATGAGTAAGCTTCTTGTCTTGTCTTGCCATGTCTGCTCACCATCGCATTCTTAGAGCACATGGAGCAAGTCACCGCAGCGGTCAGTGCGATCCAGGACAAGCTGCACGACATGGACAGGAAGAGCGACGTACATCACGAAGAAGACATGCTTGCTCACCAGAAGACCCAGTACATGATCGCTGAGGGCAACGTGGAGTCCAAGAAAGCAGCAGCGCAGACGCTGCAGGCCGTCATGTCGATAGCGGCGAGGAGCGGAGGGGTTCAGCCCAAGTGGAGCTCGAAGCGAGAGGCTGAGCTGCTCACCAAGGAAGCGACTCACTACATCGACTGCACGTCCGACGTCGCCATCCTCACCCTCCACCAGGATGGGATCGGGATGGACGAGCGACAGCTGCAGAGCGAGTTCAAGCGGATGGACACAAACAGGAACGGATACCTGAGCATCCTGGAGCTGAAGACGGGTCTACAACACAGCAAGAACATGAGCGTGGAGGAGGTAGAAGATCTGTTCTTTGCCTATGACTTCAACCAAGACGGCAACATCTCTCTCTCTGAGTTCATCTCCTTGAAACGTCCCAACCTCGAGGGCCAGCAGGGCCAGCAGGGGGAGGACGGGGAGAACTTTGCGGGCACGTGCGGTCAGATGGGAGAGCCGACCAGGAACGGCGAGCCAGGGCAGGACGGAGGAGACGGGCAGAGCGGACTGGACGGGGCGAACGGGCTGGACCTGATGGACTTCGAGGTGATGCTGGAGTTTGTGAGGGAGGACCTGGAGGCCCGAACGCGCACGTACCGTATCGAGCACTCCGGACCCAAGGGGAAGGTGATGAAGGAGGTGGAGCTGCCGTACCCCGAGGGCATCCTGTATGTCAACGCTAGAGGAGGGAGCGGAGGACAGGGAGGGAGGGGAGGCAGCGGAGGCGACGGAGGTAACGGAGGAGACGGAGGGCGAGGAGAGCAGAGTACGAGTGGAGGGGACGGAGGAGACGGAGGGGACGGAGGAAATCCAGGGAGGGGAGGATGCGGCGGGAACGGAGGAAACTCGTCGAGGGTGAAGATCAACACCAACGATCCTGCGCTGCTGATGCTGGTCAAGGTGGATGTGTCGGGAGGCGCTCCGGGGCAGGAGGGGAGGCATGGGAACCCAGGAAGAGGAGGGAGGGGCGGGAGGGGAGGAGAGGGAAGCGTATACTATGAATCGGGTTCGACAGGACAGGGAAGCTTGTCCATCACGATGCACT